GCTGCTTCTAAAAAAAATGTTATGGTTTTATATTTTATATTGGCTCTATGATCTATTTAGAGGCCATTTTTGTGAGGTATGAGGTTTAGGTTAAGGTTCATTTTTTTCTGCCTATGGATATCCAGTTGTTTCAACATCCTGTGTTTTAAGGACTATCCTTTTCCCACTGAATTACCTCGGCCCCTTTGTTCACAATCCATTGTCATATTTTTGTGGGTCTATTTCTGGATTCTCTATTTCAGGGGTTGGCAAATGTTTTCTGTGAAGGGTAAAATAGTAAATGTTTTAGGTTTTGTGGGCCATATGATCTCTGCTTCATATGCATTTATTATATTTTAAAAAACCTTTAAAAATGTAAAAACCATTCTTAGCTCACAGGTCATACAAAAAGAGACCATGGCCAGTATGTATCAGTCCATTCTCACATTGCTATGAAGAGATACCTGAGACTGGGAAACTTATAAAGGAAAGAGGTTTATACAGATGTGCATGGCTGGGAGGCCTCAGGAAACTTACACTCATGGCTGAAGGGAAAGCAGGCACTTCCTTCTTCAGAAGGTGGCAGGGAGAGAAGTGCTGAGCAAAGGGGGAAAGGTCCCTTATAAAACCATCAGATGCTGTGAGAACTCACTCACTATCATGGGAACAGATTGGGGGTAACCATCCCTATGATTCAATTACCATAAAAGATTTTGGTTTTGTATTTTATATTAGCTCTACAGGAAACACCAGGCCCCCCCCACAACACGTGGGGATTGTGGGAACTACAATTCAAGATGAGATTTGGGTGGGGATACAGCCAAACCAGATCAGCCAGATTTGGGTGGGGACACAGCCAAACCAGAGCAGCCAGATTTGGGTGGGGACACAGCCAAACCAGATCAGCCAGATTTGGCCTTTGAGCTACAGTGTGTGACCCTGCTCTGCTCTGTTCCATTGAGCTGTGTCTTCCCATCACCAATACCACCCTGTCTTAATGATGGCAGCTTTATAGTATGTCTTAAACCCAGGTTGCGTGAGTGCTCCAACTTTATCGTGTCTTTTAATTGAGGCTTTTAGATGCTTTTATTTTATGTAATTATTGGTATGTTTGCATTTAGGCCTACCATTTCATTCTTTGTTTTTCTCTGTTGCTTCTTTTTGTTGTTATTATTCCTACTGCCCCTTTTTGCCCTCTTTGGGTTATTTGAACATGTTTTTAGTATTCCATTTCAATGTCTCTATTATGGTTTTGCCACATCATTTGTATAGTTTGTTTGGTCTTTTTCTGGTTGCACCAGGGATTAGAATATATATATGTATATATATATGCACAGTCTGCAGATCAATACTTTCCCACTTCAAGTGAAATGGAATTCTAGAACCCCATAAAGGTCCTTAACCCTCTCCACTTACCTAATACTCGTCTTTATGACATCTACATACATGGAAAACTCCATCAAACGATGTTATACTTTTTTTTCTCTTATATGTTGAACGTATGTTAAAGAACCCAAGAGGTAGGAGTAGGTTACCGTATTCACTCAGACACTTACCACTTCCGCTACTCTTCCTGCAGTCCTGATGCTCCACGTTTTCTTTAGGATCACTTCCCTTCTGCCTTCCAGGGCAGGTATATGGGCAATTAATCCTCATAGTTTTCCTTTATCTGAGGATGTCCATTTATCTCACAGTATCTGTTTTACTTTCATCTCTGAAGGATATTTTCATGAATAACAAGTTCTGGGTTGGCAGTTCTTTTCTTTCAGCACTTTAAAAATATTTCACTTACTCCTGGCTTTCATGGTTTCTGATGAGTGATCTCCAGTCCCCTCAGACAAACTCCTATTAATCTTTCAAAACCTGAATCAGACTTTTTTTTTAACTTTCATTTGAAGTTCAAGGGTACAAGTGCCTTTGTTACATAGGTAAACTTGTGTCGTTGCAGTTTGTCATACAGATTATTTCATCACCCTGGTATTAAGCCTAGTACCCTTTAGTTATTTTTTTCTGATCATCTTTCTCCTCCCAGCCAGATACTTTTCTTGATCTTTCATGCCTTCCCTGTTAGTTGATCACTCCCTCCAGAGAGAGAGAGAGAGAGAGAGAGAGAGAGAGAGAGAGAGAGAGAGAGAGAGGAAGGAGGAGGAGGAGGAGGAGGAGGAGGAGAAGAAGAAGAAGAAAGAAGAAGAAAGAACAAGAGGAAGAAGAAGGAGGAGGAGGAGGAGAACAAGAAGACAGCAACAACAGAAGAATAAGGAGAGAAAGGAGAAGGAGAAGGAGGAGAAGAGAAAGAAGGAAAAGAGGAAGAACAGGAAGAGGAAGAGGATGAAGAAGGAAGGAAAAGACAAAGAAAGGAGAAAGAAGAAAAAAGAATAAGAAAGAACCCCCTGCTACTGTCATCCTTTTCTGGGTGTATTTATTTTTTATTTTATAGAACTGGGGTCTTACTCTGTCTTTCAGGCTGGAGGACAGTGGTCCAATCACTCCAGCCATGAACTCTTGGGCTGCAGTCCTCCTGCAAGCAATCCTCCTGCCTCAGCCTCCCCAGTAGCTGGGACTACAGGCATATACCGCTACACCTGGCTAATTTCTTCTGGGTTTAGAACCATCTAAAATACAGAGTCAGCAGACAGATGGAAGTTGCATGTTGGTCTTATTGTGATAAAAGCTGGACTGAGGCTGTGGTAGGTTGAAATTTTTTTTGTTGTTTTCTTGTTTTTTTGAGACAAGGTCTCACCCTGTTGCCTAGGCTAGAGTGCAGTGTTGCCATCACAGCTCACCGCAGCCTCCACCTCCTTGGGCTCAGGTAATGCTTCTACCTCAGCCTCCCGAGTACCTGGGACTTCAGGTGCATGCCACCATGCCCAGCTGTTTTCTAGTTTTTATAGAGAGAGACAGGGTTTCACCATTTTGCCCAGGCTGGTCTTGAACTCTTGAGCTCATGCAATCCTTCGGCCTCCTAAAGTGCTAGGATTACAGGTGTGTGCCACTATGCCTGGTCTGGATTGTTGCTCAGATACCTGTCTCCCCTCATTGTATGGAAGTGAGCTTCTTAGTTCCACCAACCTGGGGCTCAGCCATATGCCTTGCTCCCTGTTCCTAAGCTAGGTCCAAAGAGACATCCTGTGTTATCTCTTGCCCATTGGTCCTTCTGCTGTCACCACTAGATGTCCGAGCAATCCTCTGGTCCTGGGGGGAGGAGTGACACAAGAGCAGAGCTAAGCAGGTCCAGCAAGCCCAGCCACACTAAGTCCACCTCAGCTGACTTGCAGACTTAGGAGCTAAACAGATGCCTCCTGTTGTAAGCATTTTTATTAGACAGCACTGCTGGGCTGCAGTTAACTTTTTCTGGAATTGGCACCTAGAATCGGAGGCTGCTGCTCCTAAATCCGTAGCAGAGGTTTGGAACTGAGCAGTGAGAAAATACAGAGGCGGTTGGGAAAAATGGCAAAAAAAAAAAAAAAAAAAAGTGACCTGTGTTATGTGGTGGAGAAACAGCTGGTAAAATTATTGCCTATGATACTTTGGGAGGGAGAAAATGTACCTATGAATTACTGGAGTCAGGCAGGATGGTTTCCAGGCAGAATACTGTAAACATGAGCTTCTTTGAGCTGCAAATGATAAGGCTCTACACGTAAGAGACGAGTTCAGAAAGGAAATGGCCAGTGTACAAGCAGAATTTAGAAAACAGAATCACCTCCCATCTATGGGCTCTTCAGCCAGTAGAAGGTCCTCAAATTAATAGGTTGGTGCAAAATAATTGTGGCATAAAAGTAATTATTTCTGCATCAGCTTGGTATCTGGCCTGGGAGGCAAAGCCCAGATCCAGTGCTATGTTGGTGAAGGATGCTTCAGAGTAGAGATGACATCAGGGATATGCTCTCTATGCTAATGCCCATTGTCATCAGGTCCTTCCAAGGAATATGGTGGCATCGAGCATATCCTTTCAGCGACAACGGGGTGCCTACAAACTATCAGGGTGTGGCCCGCAGCAGCCTGATGTGGGTGTATATGTTGTGAAGTGTAGAGAGGCACACTGCCAAAGGAATTTGGGTGTGGCTTCTGACACCCAGTGGGCTGGCGTCAAATACATAGAAAACTAGCCTGATGCTTGAGAGATCGCCCTGAGCAAAGGCATCGCCCAGGACTCAAAGGAAACTGAGACTGTTGGAACGTAAAGAACTTCAGGTTCCCAACTTCCTACAGGCAGGAAGAAGCTGAAAGTTACTCCATTGCCAAAAGGACTATTTTCCAATATCCTCATCAGACGTTGAAAGGATGATGGGAAAGGAAGAAGGCCCCAGTGGTAGAAGCTAGAGCTGTGGAGCATGATGGCCCGGGAGCCACTCAGGGAGCACCCACCCCCAGAGCAGGGGCTCTGCAACATTCGCCCTGCAGGACTTCAGATGCCTGAACCAGCGACTGCTGTGTGCCTCTGCCTCCCTTTCCAGATGGAGTGCTCATTAGCGTTCCTCTAGCCCTGGTCCACCCCTGTATGTTGGGTGTGTGTGCAGGGTGTGAAGGGCAGAAAACCTGTCCTTTTAGTTCGTAAGACTCTGGGTCAAGAAGAACCACACCTTTTGCCAAGGCCAGCTGCTGGGCATCCTGGAGGTGCCACCTGCCTGCTCTTGACTCGCTCTGCCTGCAACACAGCCTTGGGGGTTTGCCCATCTCACCCTGGCCCCCCGATGAAATGTGCTCCATCAGAGTGCCCGCCAAAGGGACAGTTCAAGAGTGTTTGGGTCTAGCCCTGGCCTGCAATGCATACAGATGCTCAGAGCAGCTCCCCGGAACAGCAGTCGGATATTCACTGTGAAATGTCAAACCCCGCCCAGACCCAAGGAGACAACAAACAAACAGCCAGTAAATGCCTCAGCATTAAACATTTCTTGGCAAAGGCGGGATAGTCAATTTTGACACCGTTAAGAAAAAATACAGCCTAATTTCTGCTGGAATGCACCAAATTTACTGCCCAGGTTCTCATTAACTACTGTCAAGGGAGAGGCAGATAGACAAGATAAATTATGAAAAAATTACTTTTTTAATGTACAAAAAGACTTATTTACAAGTTGAGCATGTCATCTCAATTCATAGCATGTAGAAAAAGCTAAAAATGTTTTGGAGATATAAATTTGGCTGGATGACTCACCTACAGTATATTCAGGGATGTCTTCTGTACAGAATATATACAGGCTGGGACTAGCAAGGAAAATCCTAACGGGAAGGCAGTGAACACCACTGCAGAGCCACGGACGCTTAGCAATGTTCCCTGGCTTTCACCTGCAGTTGGCCTTGTCTCTGGACACTTTGATACGCCGGGGTGCAGGGGGCCCAGATGGTGATGGCCTTGTCCTCAAACTCTCCTAAGAAGTTCCTCATTGAGGCCAAGGTCACAGTCAGAGTCACATGCTGAGTGGTGCTGCTAGTTTGGCAAGGTTGCCACACATTCCCCATGAGAAGGTTTGGGGTGTGTGTGTGTGTGTGTGGTGTGGAAGATGCACCAATTCACCCTCCAGTGTGTCCAGGAATAATGTCTCCTGAAGCCAGTTCCAAATTCCATTGCCAGGTGGGTCTTGGTCACACTGACAAGGAAAATTCAATGACCTGAGGATCAGCCCCTCCCCCTTCCACTCCCACCCATACCACCACACGCCATCATTCTCTGCCCAGTGACTGCGGGGGCAGAAGGTAGGGAATCCGGAGGACATCAGGCCTGCATGCTGTGGCTTGGTGGAGAACACTGGGCTGCTGGTGAGTGCTGGGGAGCCTGGGCTTCTGTCAGGCCGTGGAGTTTTTTGTGGTAAATGGGTGGCCATTGCATTGGAGAAACAGGATTGGGTAAACACATGACTTCGTCTTCCTACTGGGAGATCCCCAGGGCGGCCTGAGGCTCTGCCTCGAGTGCACCTTCACTCCTTGAGGCCTTCGAAGATCTGTAACCCACAGCGGCTCCAGCAGCCCTGAGGTATTTAGAAACAAGTCTTCTTTTCAGGAAGGGCTACATTCTACATGCAAACACTGTAAACACGGTCTGGAGAGGCCAGGGCAGCTTCTGGGCTTGCCCCGAGGAGTACATTTTTTCTTTCCTTTTTCTGGTGATACTTAATACTTTATTCATTCATATATGCTTGGATGGGCTGCCAGTCCCAACTCAGCTTTATGGGGTAGAAGAGCCAGCTCTACCAAACCTGGACTCAGAATGTGCTTCTGAATCATCCAGGTATCATCTGTGCTTTTCCTCTATGACAAGGGACCTTGGAGACCTCAAGAGTTAGGCTTCATAGAGGAATTCAGGTGGGACCAGGAATTCCTCTTCCTGCCAAGTAGCAGAAGAAGCTTACATTTCCAGAATATCCAGTATGGCATTCAGATTCAAACCCAAATGCTCCCTACCCTCTTTCTGCATATCCTTGGAAAGCCTTTGGCCAGAGTAATCCCTCTTTAGCCAAATGTCAGCCATGAGGAAGCCAGAACAGAGTGGTCCCGTAGGCACTAAAGGCTGGAGAGCACGGTATAAATGAGTTTTGCATTTTTTCCTGTTCTATGGAGACTTCTTCCATTGTTCTGAGGGATAATGCAGAAGACCAGAGAGGATGCCCATAAACCTTCTCTTACAACATCCGTCGTCTGAACGGCCATTAGGCAACAACCCCTCATGCCTATTTAACACTTTTTGGAAAAAGACAAAACAGCTGGAACCCCTAGGCTCTGGGCAGCGATGACCTCTCTGGGTGCACTCAGCGCCAGGTGCTCGGGGCTCTAGGTCATCATGTTCAGGAACTTGCTCTCCTCCGCGAGGCTGGTGAGCATGGAGCTCATGTCCCCAACAGCCATGTTGCTGATGCCTGCGGGGATGGAGGGCAGGGTCAGGGAGTTTCGGGGGGTGGTGAGGCGGGAGGAGTTCTGGGAGAGATTGTGGAGGAGGCTGGGGCTCAGAGCACCCGAGAACAAACTCGAGTGATCGCCATCATCCATGATGGCATCAAAGTCAATCTGGGGGGCCTCCAGGAGCTGGGAGTCCACAGTGCTGGACACTTGGTTGACTCCTGGTGAGGGCAAGGGCTGGGGCTGGATGTTGTCCAGGCAGGCCTGTGGCTGTGGTGGCTGGGACCTTGTGACTTGGCAGCCCCCGAGGTTCTCCAGGCCTCCATCCTGTTCATACATGTGGATCTGGCCATAGTAGTAGAGCATGCTGTGGTCCGGGGGCCCCGAGTCTGGCAGAGGCGGCTGGGGATGCACCGACCCCATGGTGCCCATCGCTCCCTTGGGCACAGCCTCTGCTGTCTCCTGACTGGAGGGCATGGCAGCCATGGCATGGCCTGTGGCCCTGGCATAGGCCAGCTGCTGCTGCGCAGCACGTACCCCACGGTGGCGGCCAGCGGGGCTGGGGTCGGGTGGAGGCCGGGGCTGCACTAGGCCAAAGCCTGCTGTAGCCACTCCCATTGGGCCTGGCTGGGGCTCGATGAAGCCAGGCTGGCGGGCAGGCAGAAGGCTGGGGACCTGGTGGTAGCCCTCCTGGCTCATGGGGGCTGCCAGGTGATGGCTCTGCTGTGGGTAGCTCTGGACTGGGTGAGGTGGTGGCACTCCAGCCAGGGCTGAATTGAGGACCCCGAGTTCCCTGTGGCGGTTGGCCATCATGGTAGGGTCAGGTGCAACTTCTGTCTGCTGTGGGTGTCCCAGATGGCCTGGCTTGGCTGGCATGCTGCTGCAGGATGGGGCAAACTGGCTGAGGGCCCCACTGATGGTGCTGGGGCTCAGCTGGGGGTGGGCCTGGCCATAGCAGGCATGGGGGCTCATAGCGGTAGTCATGCCAGGACACTGGCTGCCTGCCACTGGCTGTCGCAGCTGCTGCATGTAGTTTACTCTGGGCATGCCCTGGGAAGGGGCTCCGCTGGGGAGCTGAAGGTGTGGCTGTGTGCTGTCCAGGCCCCCAGGACTCGCCTGTAGGCCTTGTGGACTGTAGCCTGGGTACTGGCCAAAGGCTGGCTTCTGCTGCACCACCGCCAGGTTGCCCTGAGGAACGGGTGGAGGCTTCACCTGGCTGGCCAGGGCGTCCACTGTGCCGGAGCTCACCTCGTTCCACTGCACAGGCATGTTATTTTTGTTCAGGCTGGAGGGTGCCCCAAAGCCCAGCTGGCATCCTCCCAGCACAGGGGCAGAGGGGCTGACATTGGAGTCCGCAGCCACCATCCTCCGCTGGCCATGCAGCCCCGGGCTGGGCAGTTTGGGGTTGTCAGAGAAACCAGTGCTTTCCGTGGGATACACCTGCCCGGCACCTTCATCCAGAGCGCCACTGGCGTGCGCCTTGATATACTGCACCACATCGTCGGGCAGCACAAGGTCGTCCTCCGGCAGCCCCAGGTCGGCTTCGGTTCCTGCGCTGTCCGCTCCTGCCGCCACGGCCTCCATCACCATGTTCTCACTGATGCTGGGTGGCCGGGGTGAGTAGGTGCCGCGGGCCAGGCCGCCGTCGGTGCTCGGGTGGCTCTGCAGGCGGAGGCCTCGCCTGTCGGCACAGGGCGGCAGCAGGCCGGGGTTCACGTTGTGGGCGCTGTGGAAGCGCTGCACTCGCGGCAGGGCCAGGGCATCGGGCCGCCGCACAGGGTCGCTGGCCCGCCTGGCGCCGCTGCCCGGAGCCTCGTGAGGGAAGGCGGGTGCGACCCCTGCGTGGCCGTGGCCATAGGTCGGCCCATCGCTGCCACGCCGCGGCCCCAGCGGGCGTGTGCAGCCGGGGGGCAGCACGCGCTCTGGCGCATCCAGCAGCGCCAGCCTGGTCCGCAGGCTCATGCGCTCCAGCCCCGGCAGCGGGGTGGGTGGGGGGCCGCCCGTGGCCGCTGCGTACTTGGCCCGCAGGCTGTACTGCTGCGCCGGCGTGAGGTTGAGCAGCCCGGAGCCGCCGCTGCACTGGCTGGCCTCGCTTGAGCGCCGCGACGCATCGGTGGAGATGGGGTCGTAAGAGTCTGCAGAGCTGGCATTGTGCGGGCGGCCGGCGCCCAGGGGCGAGGCCTCGCTGGAGCGGCGGCTGGAGAAGTAGGGGGAGATGCCGGAGGAGCGGCGGCTCACGGTGTAGGCCGAGCTGACAGTGCTGGTGGAGCTGTCGCGGCGCTCCTGCAGCTGGTTCAGCATGGTCACCTCGCTGGCGGACAGCTCCGACAGTCGCGGGTTGGGCAGCAGCCCCGAGGGCCCGCCGCCTCCACTGCCGCTGAAGTTTTCCAGGATGGAGCCTGCGGGAAAGCAGAGGGGTCAGCACCGGGACAAGGCTCGGGTGGCTGCTTGCTTTGACCATGCTCAGTCATGGCGCTGGGCCCGGAACCCAGGAGACACTCAGGAGATGCATGTTTTCTTTCTTTTTCTCTTTGTAGAGACAGGGTTTCCCAGGCTCGCCTTGAACTCCTGGGCTCAAGGGATCCTCCCTCCTCAGACTCTGGAGTAGCTAGGGCACACATGTGCCACCATGACCAGTGACCAGATGGTTTTCAATCAAGAAGGGGAAAGAAAAAGCGATATGTAAACAAAGGGTGACACTTAATGCTAAGAGTGGGCGAGGGAAGTCAGGAGGCCTAAGTCCCTGCCTTAATCTGTCTAGCCCTGAATTCTTTCTCTGGCCTTAGTTTCTCCAGCTGTAGATAAATGCGCATCTCCATAGGACTGAGTTACACAGAGGAGGGGATGAGCAGCCCAGTAAGGCCCAGGCCGGTCTCCTGGTACTGCACCCTCACAGTCCATGGAGGTGTTGTCACCTGGGCTCCCCTGAGTTGGAGCTGAAGGAGCAGGATATTACAGGGAGTGCCCTGAGGTCTATACCCATGGAAGGAAAGAAAGGAGAGACAGGCTGCAAGAGCCGGCAGAGGAGAAGTGAGCCCAGGAAGATCTCATGGGGAGCCCAGGACCTCCAATGGCTCTTCAGTGCTGCCTGTGCTGGGCACCTCTCTGAGCCTCATCTTGATGGCTGGACCTTTATACTCCTGCAGTGACCAGTCATTGCCTGCGGGCCTGCTGGGAAGGGGTGACCTTGGGTGGGGCATCTGTCTGCAACTCTGGAGATCCCTGTAGGTGGCTGAGAATTCAAGGCCATTTACCAGCAGTCCCCAAAAGTTGGGACACCAAATCTTCCCTTCAAATGAGAGCAGGTGGTACATCAGTGTCTACCACAGTGGGCAACCCAGCACAAACCCAGGCACAGAGTTGGTACCCAAGACATGCTCACTAACGATGCCTTCCATCTCAGAGCCTGGCCGGCACCTCCTGGGGCTAAGCACAGTGCTGCCTCCTCCATGAAGTCCTCCCTGCTTGTACCCAGCTCAACGTGCTTTCTCCTTCCTCTGCACAGCTCTACCCTGAGCTCTGGTTTGGCGGTACCCGGCTCATTCTGCAGTAGGGTGTAAATCTGGTGGCACAAGCTTCTAACCATACGCTCCTTTGGGACTGGAATTCAACTGTTCTCCTGCCTAGGGCCTTTGACATGGTGCCCACAGCAAGTGCCTAATCAGTGAATGAATGACTGGGTGAAGAAGAGGATGATGTGAGCAGGGCCTGCTTGTTTTGGGGGGTTACAGGGACTTAGCATGGTGCAGTTGAAGGAGCATGGGTTTTGGAGCCACATGGACTAGGCTATCACCTCTGCCATTGGTTTGGGTAAGGCGTTTCACCTCTCTGAGCCTCAGTTTCCTTTTCTGTACTGGGCTGGTAAGATCCTGTAGGCATCCGGTGAGATAGCACTGGTGCTTGGTGGGTGTAAGCCTAGCTGGTGCTGCCCCAGACTCTCTCCCGCCCTGTATGCAAACACCCGGCCTTCACTCACCACTTCCCGGGAGGGGAGGCAGCTTGGTGTTCCGCGTGTGTGGAGTCGGCCTGGCCCATGAGCAGGAATCCTTGAGTGACTTGAGCTTCTCCTTCTTGAGCTGCTCAAATCGGTGCATGGTGGTCATGTGTTTGCGCAGCTGGAGGCCACCAGTGGAGGGGGCAGCCAGGGCTGAGGTGTCGGCCCCTGGAGGTGTGTCATCCAGCGCCGTCAGGTCTCCCAGGCTCCCGGGCCCCGTCCCCGGCATCTCCACACCACTGTCATTGTTGGGGGCACTGCCCAGGGGAGAGGGCTCGCTGCTGCAGGATGACTGGGCCCCGGGGCTGGACTGACACAGCTGCAGGGGACGAGGCAAGAAAGCACAGACTCAGAGGGTGTGAGAGTCCACCAGGTCCTGCCTCTAGGCCTGCACATGCACCACACCCTTGCACAGCCTGTGGGGCTGCAGGGTGAGGGAAGGAGGCTGCCTTGCAGAGGAGCATGTAAAGCATCACGAGTCTGTTTGCTCAAAATGGTCAAGTCACTTCACTTCTCTTAACCTTGGCTTCCTCACCTATGACATGGACCTGAACTGATTCCAGTGCAGGGTTAGTGGGTGGATAGACAGCAGGCAGCATGCAGAAGGCACCCAGTATGGCATGAAAGAAGGCACTTAATCCCCCAAACAGCCATGTACCCAGATGAGGTGAGGAATGAAAACCTGCTGACTTGGTGGCTTCAACCAGACAGGATGATCTCAAAAGGCCAGGGGCAGGTTGTTGGACAGGGAAAGGATGACCGTGGAGGGGACTGTGGGATGCAGCCCTTACCTAAAGGGCCACCCCAAAGCAGCCTCCCCTCTGGGTCAGGTAGAGTGGGGCAGGGAGCTCATGGCACATGTACACAGTGCAGAATGCCAGAGATCGGATGGCATCCACAGAACTCGGATCTGAGCCCAGATGCACCACTTCTGGGCTCATTGCTAGGCCAAATACCCCCAAATTCCAGCTTCCTTAGGGAGCTGCGATCTTCCTTCCCAGGAGGACAAAGGCTTCATGGGAGCAGGGACCTTCTAGGTGTTGCCATTGGTGCCATCCATATTCTTCTGCTTGGCCCTCAGGACCCTCAGTAGCCTGGATGCACGCCTCCCTGTCACTCTGTCCCTGACACAGCCTGGCACCCCTGCTCCCCAGCACCTGCCAGCTCCACTCTGGCTGCCAAGGGCAATGGCCCCACCTGTAGTGTCCTGCTGTGTGCCCGTCTGGGCCTACCTGCCTGGGCCTATGAGGCCTGGACTGACAGGGGAGTCTCTGCCAGGTAGCAGCATGAACCAGCTCCCCAGCCACCCTCACTCCCCCAGCCCACCCACACACACCCAGCTCCTTGGCTCACCTCAGTACCGTCTATCCTTAGGGGAGGTACAGTTGGGAAAAAGAGGTGGAGACAAAGAACAGGTGGTTAGAACAAAAGGAGTGGACGCCAGAGGGGCGGGGATGCAGAGACAGGACAGACGGGTGGGGCTGGCAGCGGCGCTTGGGTGCTGGCTGGAAAGGCAGACATGCAGAGGCCACCCCCGCCCTGTGTAGGCCCATCGTACGGGGCGGCATCCCCCTCATCTAGGGCACTGCCACATACCCAGCAGGAGCCTGGTCAGAGCAGAATGGGACCTGGACAGGACAGGTTCCCTGTGAGACCCAAGGTGGTGAAGGGAAAGCCAAGTTGGAGGAGAGAGGAGGGACACTAATGTGCCCTAAGAGGGGGACTTCTGGGCAGAGCCCACAACCGCGGTCAGGTTAGTGGGTGGATTAGGACTCCTGGGCGCGGCTATGGAGTCGCCTTGCGTGGCTGGGCTGCCCAGCTACGCTTACCCCGGAGCTCTCGGTCTTGATGGCTCTGACGTGCAGGCAGTCCTCCACAGCGTGGCTGGTGCTACTGGCCTCGGCGCTGTCCTCAGAAGCACGGCCGCCAGGCTCGGTGCCGGCCTCACTGTCCCCGTTCTCTTTGAGCAGTGGTGTGCGGAGGTGCATGTCGTTGCGCTGCTTCTTGGTGACATGGGCGTCTGGGCCGTGGACCGTTTTCACATGCTTCCGGAGAGAGCTGGGGTCTGTGTATCGCTTCGTGCAGCCTGGAATCTTGCAGATGTAGGGTTTCTGGGGGCAGAAACAGGCCTGTGTCATGGATGGGGCTACAAGCATCAACCTTGAAGGGTGCTCTCCCTGTTCTCCTGAAGCTTTCCATGTCCCTCGGCAGAGCCTGGCTGGCAACGTCAGTAAGTGCTCTGTCGAATTTGCAGCCAGTGCTCCGTGGACAGGGCCATGCCTGACCCAAGCCTGCAGGAGCCTGGCCGTAGCCTGGCTTGTCTGCCACCTGTTCATGCAGCTAAGCACATGGCCAAGGGGAGTCCTGCCACAAGAGGCTGGGTACACACGCGCCTCGTGTAATCACAGTGCTGCCTCTCGGGGAACAGGGCAGTGAGGTTTTTAGTACTAGTAGCAAGTGTGTGAGCTCCGTGTACAGTGTGACAGGGCTAGCAACCCTGATTTCTCTGAGGAAGAAAGGCAGGATCAGGGAGGCAAAGGAACAGGTTCCTAGTCATCAGTAATAGGGTGAACACACAGGATTTCCGAACCTCAGTCCTGGACCCATAAACACGTGCACATGTGCGCGCGCGCGCACACACACACACACACATGCACCCCACGTCTACACAAAAACACAAACACATATACACAAGTACATATACACATACGTTTGTAAGTGTATGTGTGTGTGTGTGTACAGATACGGGGGAGTATGTGGGTATCTGTATCTGTATGTGGATATGTGTGTGTACTCATACTCCCCCGCATCTGTACACACACACACACACACGTCTACACAAAAACATAAACACATCCACACGTGAGAGACTCTCAGGGGTTCAGATGCCTTTGAAAATTCCTCTAACTTCTTACCAGCGTATACACATATACATATGTGTATATGTGTTTGTGTTTTTGTGTAGACGTGGTGTGTATGTGTATAGATGCGGGGGAGTATGAGTGCACACACACTCATATCCACATACAGATACTCACACACATACTCCCCTACATCTATACACACACACATACACTTACAAACACACATACATACATGTGCACACACACTCCCCTCTAAGACTGGCGCTTGTCCATAGAGACTCACAGGGGTTCAGATGCCTTTGAAAATCCCTCCAACTTCTTACAAGCATTAGAGCAAAGTCCCTTTGGGGTCTAGGATGTGCCTAAACTTTTAAAAAGATTCTTTTCTGAGTAAGCCTGAGTGACAGTCATTGTGTGACTGTGCTGGGACACCACCAACTCTTGCCTGGCTTCTCTCCCTGGTTCTCACAGATAGGGGCTCTGCCTACCCAGGAAGACGGGCTGCTCTGTGCCCCATTTGCTGGGGCGACAGCCACGGCAGGCCCAGGCCATGCTAACAGCTGGAGCATGTCACTGCTCGCTGCTCAAGCCAACAGGCCAGGGGGCTGTCAACAAGTGCCAAGCTCAGGCAGCACTGTTCTGCTTCCCCCAGGCAGCAGGGCAGCTGCTCTGCAGTGGGACACCTGCTTGTGGTGGAAAGGGAATTTGGGTGTGTGAAGCAGTGACCAAGGGTATTTTCACAGCTGCAGAGGAATCATCACTCCTCTGGTACTGGGGAAAGTCATTTCATCTCTGAGTATTCGTTTCCTCATCTAGAGGATGGGGAGGCAGAATCCACCCAGCATCCCTGAGGAACAGGGAGCAGACGCATGTTAAGCACTCCGAGATCAGAGAGGCCACTTCCCTGCCTCAACTTCAGCTCCCAAGGACCTCACGATGGCCTCTGAGGAGGGCACTATTATATTTATTACAGAGATAAGGAAATGGAGGCACAGAGAGGGTCAGTACGCCATGGGACCTCATGGGGCATCTTTTAGAGGAGAGGATGTGGCAGAGAGAGAGACTGGTCTGTCCAGGTCTCAGAGTCTTGGTCTGTGTCTGAGGATGTGCAGCTGGTCAGGGGTGGGGGAAGGACACCAGGCACCTGGCTATCCACTGGCCTGCAGATGCCTACAAGCCATGGGGTGTTGGTGTGGCCCCCATGTGCATGCCAAGTGTGTGCCCCTTGGGGGTACCTCATTGGAGTGGGTGCGGTTCTGGTGCTTGGCACGGTCCGAGGCATTAGAGAAGGCCTTGTTGCAGCCCTCGTGCTCACACACATATGGCTTCTCCCCGGTGTGGGACCGCAGGTGCGTCTTCAGGTTCTCCAGGCGTGAGTAGGCCTTCGAGCAGCCCTCGAACTAGAAGGAGGCGGTTCAGTCAGTCAAGGCTCCCCAGGGGGCCCAACCTGGAGGCCAGGCTGCTGGTTCCCCTGCCCTACTCTTCTCCACCCCATCAGTGCATCCAGAAGCATGCGTTTTAAAGGTGTTACTTTCCTTTCCTGAAAACTTGGAAAGGGCTGAAAAGTACAAAGAGAAAATGAAAAACCACCAGCCGCCAGGGGGTGCCACCACTGAGACGCCCGTAAGTTTCATTCTGGGGATTCTGCAAGTCATCTCCACATGTCTTTAAAACCAAAACTGGGAACATATCAAGTCTTCAGTTACATATTCTGTTTTTTAAAATCAGCAGCACATTCCTGTATCATTAAACTCTAAACTATTACTTTGAACTGATTCCCAGTACCACTCTCGATTATAATTTTTCTGCACACTAAAATGTGCTGAGAATAAATTCACTCTTTCAAGTCCTTGAGTGACTCGGCCACCCTCACCTTCACTCTGGCCACGCTGGTCTCCTTTCAGTTCTTTGACCCCCAGTTCTTCCTGGCTTGGGGCTCTGCCTACTACTGGCTTTTCTGGCTGGAACCTTTCGCAGCCCCCACCCAATCCGGTTTCCTGGCCCAGGTCCCTCTGAGAGCGTTTTTCTGATACTCTCAATCACAACACTCTACCCTCTCTCCGTTGTTCCCCTTGGCATGATTTATAATGATCTTAATCATTTTGTTACCCAGCCTTCTTACTAGAATACCAGCTCCACAGAGCAGGAATCTTCTTGGTCCTGTTCATTTCTGTGTTCCTAATATTTAGCACCTAGGCACTTAAGAAACATTTTTGGGAAGGAAGGAGGAAAGGATGGAGCAAGGGAGAGAGGAAGGAAAGAAAGGAGGTGGGAGAGAGGGGAGGAAGGAGGACGGGGAGAAGGAAGAAGAGATCATTGCAGGGAGCTCTGCAGCTATTCCAAAGATACTGCGGTTGCCACTGAATGGATGTATGAAAACTGCTCTCAGGAGGACACGTACATCCCAGTAGGAGCTGTCTCATTCCTCACATCCTCCCCTTTATTCCTGACCAGTCTGATTGAGCACGCTTGGCTCCAAATGCCTTTTATCTGTTTCCACAACTCACAGCTCATATCATCAAAGGGCTATGATTTGCCACCACTGAGGATGTTAAGAAAATAACTTGTTGCAATGGGCCCCAAAGGGCCAGAACAATCTTGCAAAAGGAGGACAAATTTGGAGGACTCATATGTCCCAATTACTTCCTACACATTGACAGTAATAAAGACTGCAGGTGGTGGTGGTATAAAGAGAGACACAGAGATCCACGCAATAGAACTGGCAGTTCAGAAGGAAACCCAGACACTTAAGGTCAATTGAGTTTTGACAAGAGTGCCAAGACCATTCAAGTAGAAAGAACAGTTTTTCAAAATGAACTCAGACAACTGCATAATCACATGCAAAAGAGTAAGTCTGAATCCCTACCTCATACCATGTACAAACCTTAACTCCAGGCAGGGCATGGTGCTCACGCCTGTAATCCCATCATTTTGGGAGGCCGAGGCAGGCAGATCACCTGAGGTCAGAAGTTCAAGACCAGCCTGGCCATCATGGTGAAAACCTGTCTCTACTAAAAATACAAAAAAATTAGCCAGTGTGATGGCACATGCCTGAATTCCAGCTACCTGGGAGGCTGAGGCAGGAGAATTGCTTGAACCTGGGAGGCAGAGGTTGCAGTGAGCCAAGATGGCACCATTGCACTCCAGCCTGGGTGACAGAGGGAGAAGACTGTGTCTCCAAGCAAACAAACAAACAACTCCAGACAGACCAAAGACCTCAATGGAAGAGCTTTATTATAAAACCCCTTATACACACATATATTTCCTTTAAAAATTTTTTTAAATTTTTTAGAGTGCCAGTATTCAATATTTCTATAAATAAAAGTCTATCTTTATAAAGTATAAATCTTAGAAGAAAACAGAGAGGTAAATTTTTGTGACCTTGGATTAGGCAATGGTTCCTTAGCTATGACACTAAAAGCACAAGCAATTAAAAAATTAGACAACCTCAAAATTAAAAACTTTTGTGCTTTAAAGAAAAGTATCAGAGAAATGAAAAGAAAACCGAGAGAATGGGAGAATTATTTGCAAGTTGTATATCTGATAAGGGTCTAGTAACTTAGACATGTAAAAAATTCTTACAAGTTAACAACAAAAAGACACCCAGATTTCAAAATGGGCAATATTTGAGTAGACAGTTCTCCAAAGAAGATACACAAATGGCCAGTAAGCTCCTGAAAATGAAGTTCAACATCATTAGTCACTAACTAGGGAAGTACCAATCAAAAACACAATAAAGTACGACTCTATACCCAGTAGGATAAGGCTAGAATAAAAAAGATGGGTAACAGCCAGTGTTGGTGAAGATCTGGGGAAATCAGAACCCTCATTCATTGTGGGTAGAAAGTTAAAATGGAACAGTGTTTTTGGAAAACAGTCTAGCAGTCCCTCAATTGCCATATGACTTAGTAATCCCATTCCTAGTTACACATACCCAAGAGAAGTGAAAATGTTATGTCCATATAAAAATATGAACATACATATTCATAGCAGCATTGTTCATAATAGCCCCAAAGTCAATGCAATGCAAATATCCATCAACTGATGAATGCATAAACAAAGCATGGTCTAGCCATTCAATGTTATATTATACAGCCATGAAAAGAAATAAAGTACATGTGCATGCCACTACACAGATGAAACCTTGAAAATGTGTTAACTGAAAGAAGCAAGACACAAAGGCACATATTGTATGATTTCAGTTTTTATGAAATTTCCAGAAGACAAATCCATATAGAGATAAAGCAGATTAGTAATTGTTCGGGGCTCTGGGAAGGAGAGAATTTGGAGTGGCTGCTAATGAGTACAGGGTATCTTTCTGGGGTGATGAAAATGTTCTGAAATTAGTAGTAATTGTTGTATAAATTTGTGAATATATTAAACACAACTAAATTGTACATTTTCTGAAAAGGGTGAACTTTATGGTATGTTCATCTCTGTTTTTGGTAGTGATCCATGAGATAATGGCTTTCCACATAATCCCCTCTCCACAAAGGCACAGAGAGTTATTTCTCAATAAAAAAACTGACATGCCAACAAGGGTAGCATATTTCACTGGATCCTGGACACCACTGATTTTAAGACAGTCTGACTTCAGAGATATTAAGTTGAAAATGTTTGTCTCAGAATCTATGAAACAGGAATTCATAAAGAGGAATTCCCAGATGTTTCAGCTGCAGCTAAAACCATGTCCTCTTTTGTGGGGCAAAAAAATAAGTCTCTTGAACTATAGTCATAAGTCCTGTTGACCTCCTAAAGGAGACCATAGAAAAGGTCTTTGAGCTCACTAAAAAAAAATAATAATAACTCAGCTGGGAGCTATGGCTCAAGCCTGTAATCCGAGCCCTTTGGGAGGCCTAGGCAGGCGGACTGCTTGAGCCCAGGAGTTCAAGAGTGGCCTGGGCAACATGGTGAAATCCTGTCTCTACAAAAAACCACAAAAATTAACTGGGTGTGGTGGCATGCGTCCCAGCTACTCAGGAGGCTGAGGTGGGAGGACTGCCTGATCCCAGGAGGTGGAGGCTGCAATGAGCTGCCTGGGTGACACAGTGAGACTTTCTCAAAAAACAAATAAACAAAAAACCTTCAACCCAAATGAGTTTTAATGCATCGTTGCTCAAGCTCTGAATCATCAGTGATGTTCTTTTTCTCTGCAGAGTGCTATGGAGCAGTCCCTCTGCCCAGTGTCACCCAGCCAAGCAAACTGCAGCAGGCAGCTCTGCCTTTGGGCTTACAATCGCAGACACACCCACACACTTCTCTCTGCTTACCAAGACACTCACACCCAGAGAGCAAATCCATCAAGGTCTGAGACAGCACGAGGCAAGGGGCCTCCAGGACCCAAACAGGCAGGGTGGGAACAGGCTTCTGTCCCAAAGCTCCTGCAGTGGCCTGCTCCACCAGGTGTGCCTGTGGCTGGCCACCTCCAAACACGATTCCCCTGGCCAGGCTGACAGGCTGGTCCTGATGCCACAGCAGGAATGGGGAGAAGCCACTCACCGTGCACTTGTGGGGCTTCTCGCCCGTGTGCCGCCGCATGTGCACCACCAGCATGTACTGTGCCTTGAAGGGCTTCTGCTCCCGCGTGCAGGCCTGCCAGCGGCACACGAACTCCTTCTTCTCCCCATGGATGTGCTCGTTGTTGATGTGCTGCCGGGAGGGAAATGCCCAGGAGTGGGTAAGCAGGGCCACGAGGCGCACAGACCACCCCCGGCTGTCAGCTGACCACCCGCCCCGGCATGCCCCCTGGCCCTCCCCGACCTGTGTGCAGACCACCCACCCTGCTGACCCCACCTATTATGTTCAGACCACGCTCCTCATTGCCCATCCCACCTACTACGTGCAGACCACTGACCCAACAAGATCACCCCTACAAGCCAGGCCACGCCTCCTCGTGAATAATCACTAGCTGCCATTAATGAAGGCCTACTGTGTACCACTTATCTTCCCTGCATTTTCCAATCAGTCATCAAAGTGACCATCTATTCTGGGCAAAGACATCCCATGCACCCCAGCCTGGGCTCAGGGCTCTGGGGTGAGATGCTCTCAGGCTGCAAATAGTAGGAAGTAATTAACTGCAAGCAAGGCAAGCATCCCGTAGTGGGTGCGTGAGAAATGTCTCCTAAGCTTGCCCCATTGTTTCAGAGGTTTGTAAATAACATGTTTTGTTATAACAGAAAAACAACACATGCTCATCTCTATTTTTGTATTGACCCATGAGATAATGGCTTTGTCCCCTTTCCACAAAGGCACAAAGAGTTCAGTGGACTGCCCAGGGCCCTGGCAGGTGATTAGGCAGGGCCATATCTGACCTTAATGGTGGGCTCTGGGCACTGCGTGGGGCTCACCCTGGGAGAAAACAGCCTAGGCGAGTGAGGTGGGAAAGCCAGCGCAGCACGACTAACCCCACCACATATCTCGGGTCAGGTGGGGCTTTGCTTACCCATCCCGATGGCGAGACCAGGACACTCAGGTCTTGGAGGCCTCCCCTTCCTTCTCTGTTCTTCACTTCCTCCCAGCACCCCCTCCCACAACCTCTAGACCCATACTGTCTGCTACAGTAGCCACTTGTCCCATGTGGCTCTTGCACACTTGAAATGTGGCTGGCCCAAGCCAGGATGGGCTAGATGTGCAAACTACATGTCAGTTTCAAAGACTTAGAATGGAAAAAAAAAAAGAATATACAATATCTCAATAATTATGTTTTATATTAACTACCTGTTGAAATAATATTTCAGATATATTGGGTTAAATAAAAAATATTAAAATGAACTTCACCTGTTTCTTTTTGCTCCTTTTAAAGGCACTCCTAGGACATGTAAATTACGTGGGTGGCTGGCATTTGCGGCCTGCAGTATTGTTCTGCTAGACTTTCTACTGTGGACCTTTGCCACCTGCAAGGCTGTCCTGAGAGCCAAGCATCAGGCACTGGCAGTGCCTTGCCCCAGAGGACAGAAAACTGTCAGGTCCTCACACCCTATGCGACTGGCCCCATTGTCATGCATACGAAAGCCCCTGCTGGAGCATGTGAAATCTACAGCGCTTTGAACTTCCAAAGAAATCTTATCATATTAGCCTCACTTTCCATTTTTAAAGCCTTTCAAATGATAAAAATGCTTCCTGACAATGCCTTTCATTTTTTTCTTATTGGTTTACTTGGCAACAAATTGTTAATAATCGACCAGGGGCTCCAGCTCGCCTGTGTGCCTGTTCCATCCATCTTTCCAAGGAGCAGAGAGAGACAGAGACAGAGCGGGGTGAAGGGGTCTGCTTTTTCCAGGGCCTAGTCTGGCCACTGATAGCTGTAGGACAGTCCAGGGCACAGGCAGAAGCCCTGGGCTAAAGCCCTTCCTTCCAGGTTGGGGACCCTCAGCCTTTGTTTGAGGAAATCCATGCCTGCTCTTTGGAGCTGACCCACTTATCACAGAGCACGTCTTTGACATCCTCATCTGCATGCTCTGGCTTTGGCCTTCCCCTGGCCTGAGAGGCTGTCCGTCTCTCCTCCTTTCCTCTAACTGATTTGTTCTGCAACTCAGAACTCCACGGCCCCTGCTCCAGCTAGGGCTCGTTTAGCCCACAGAGGTGGCACAAGTTGAAAAACCCGGAAGAGGTTAGATAAGACCTTGGTTCACCAGTTCTATGTCAGCTGCACTCCTTTGCTGGGAAATTCTGGTATTCTGGGTGAGAACAGTGTTTGGGAGGAAAAACTCCAACACAAAAGAAACCTAGAGTATTTGGAAGCAAGTTGCATAAACAGAAGAAGCAGAGGAGTTGGTGTGTCCTAAATGCTAAGTTCACAGAGCTGGGGAGAAACAAGCACCTCTGGGACGGCTTCCGAATATGAACAGGAGACATGTGTACACGTGTGTGTGTGCACATGTATGCATGTCTGCTCTTCCCAGCAATCGGACTACTAATTTAGTGAGTTCATCTTTACAGACACTCATTCACCAAGGAATGTGTGTTGGGAGTTGGGAGGGGGCTTTCTTGAATTTAAGTTCCTTTCTGGATGGAGAAGAGAGAGCCATGCAGGGGTGGTGTGGGGAGCAGGAGGAGGAAGGAGGGAGCTGCTAGGTGCAGAGTGCCTGAGAACATGACTGAGCATCCTGTGGGGCAACATCACCCCGATTTAAAGGAAAAAAAATGAGGCTTGCAGAGGTGGAGTCGCTTGCTCAGAACCACGCAGCTGGTTGTGGTGGGGACAGGTCTGGAGCCAGGTGTCTCCCATGCCAAGCCTCCACTCTGCACGCTGCACACATCACCCTGACTGCCACATAAGGGATGCTGCAGTGTAAGAGTTTGGAGTGAGACAAAGAGGCCTGCCCTGAAGGGCTCGCCGGCTCCCATGGTCATCTCTAATTGTCTGAGCTGTCAGTACTCAGGCATGGTTATGCAGCCTCCTCTTTGATCTCGGGGTAGACACCCACCTGCACCCATATCCACTGCGTATCTGAGAACAGTCTCCAAGAGGAAATGGTCAACTCCTTCTGTCATGGGAGAAGCTTCTTTCATTTATTATCTTGTAGATGCTGGCTGGTTTAACTAATTGTATTTCCCTCTTTGCACTGGCTATTAGGAATCTCACAAGAGAAATAGTCTGTAGTACATAGACTATAGCTCAAAGCACTCGGTTTTTAATACTAACTATTCCTGGTTTCATTTTATTGTTCCCTTTTCCCTGATAGTCTCATTTACTTATTTTTTCTTTTAATCTCTTGTATTACATATGTATTGGAAGCTGTCTTAAAAAATAGGCAGGACACACATAAGTAATCGTGCCTCCCACTTGCAGAGGATGCAGCCCAGGCATCTCTTGGGGCCTCTCCTCCAGCCCCTTTTCTCTAGTAGAGACCCTGGAAGGCTCAGCATCCTGCGTGGCTTGGGCAGTCCCCCGGTGGGCGGGCTGCTGGGTGGGGGCTCAGAGGCTTACGTGCACCAGCTGCTCCTGGGTGTCGTACTCCTTGGTGCAGTCTTCCCAGTGGCAGTTGGTCTCATAGATGACCACCTCAGCCTCCTGCTTGCAGTCATCCCTGTCCAAGTCTTCCTTGAGGTCAGCCAGCTGCTCCTGGGAGAGGGGAAGGGCACACCCACATGAGCCGTGTCCAGACAACTGGCCCTGAAAAGAGGTCGCTGTTAGTCCCATGCATTCTGTTACAGGTGTGGATGCAAGTGTGTGCATGCACACACACAACACATGCATGCAGACACACACACACACAGACACACACACACATGCTCTCTCTCTCTCTCTTTCTCAGGAGGATTTTTAGCTCCTTTCCTCAGCTCAGCCCCCATCCACAGCTCTCCTTGTCAGATGGCCTGTCCTGGGCTGCTCCTCCTTCCTCTCTAGTGCCCTCTTGTCCTTGTCAAGGTGTTCTGTCACTCCCTGGGTCTACTCCATGCCAGGAGAACAGGAGAAAGGCAGGGTGGGGTCTTTTGTCTGGTTTGATTTCCACTGTGGGGAACCAGATTTTCTTGCCACAGCCCTAACACACGGGCATCTGCATGATATGATTGTATAACAGAAAGAATCTGACACCCTCCCCATGAACTCACAGTGTGCTCAAGGTCTGGGACTTGGGTCTCCAGACCACATTAGGGCCCATGAGGCCATTTTAAGGAGGTGAAGGAAAGACCCCTGAGACATTCCTTCACCTGATCACAGGTACCTGAAATTCTTTCACCTGATAACAGGTGCCTGAAATGCCCTTCAAAGAGGACAGTCTTTTGCTCTCAAACTGGCAACAGGCTGAGAATTAACCTGCAAGACCATCCCCACCCTCACAGATGCTACCAGGGCCACCCTCTGAGCAGACAACATGAGGACAGGCAGGTACCTGCCTGGGGTTGGGGCATAGGGAGAGACTCAGATGCCCCAAGTAGAGACAGAAAGCCCACGGAGGGCCTACAGGGGCTGTTGAGGACTCCCCAGTATTCCACTGGTCTCCTAGGCAGGCTGGGAGCAAAGCCGGGCACAGAGGCAGATGTTACCAAGACTTCCTTCACATTTCAAACTCTCCAAAAACAGCAGGAAAACGTCTTTCCAAATAGCCTCTGGGGAAAACATGTATAGTCAGGCTCAGGGGGATGAATGACCTTTCCCCATAGTCAAAAAGCCTAACGCTCACTGGCTTCAGAGACCCAATAAGGTGCCACAGCTGCCCAGGTCATGGTCTCACTCCTAATGCCGAGTCCCTTTCTGGGAGTGGCAGAAAGTGGCCTCAGGACGCCCTGCTGTCAGTGGAGACTCAAACCCCAACTGATTTTTCCATAAGAGCTGCAAACACCTCTTCCAAGAAGGAGTCCTGGTTGTTTCTCAGAGGACCTTTCAACTGATCCACTTGTCTGAACAGGAAGGCAACAGCATGTCATACAATAGCTCCGGGGGCTGCACCGGGACCACAATCAAAGGAAGGTGTAGGAGCATTTCCTTTCCAGATTTTTAGCAATGGGATTGTCTGGGGCTGTTGGGGTGAAACCGTAGGGAGAGTGGACCAGAGGGCCTCCTACCACCCTCTCCACACTATGAGAAAATCTGGAAGTCAATTTGCTATTTCCACTGGCTGTGCGCCCTGCTCACTCTGAAGACTTGGAAAGCTGACAGGTCACACTGCAATCAGAGGGCAGCACAGAGGTGGGTAGGGCCTCAGGGTTGCACTGGGCATCCTTCTAGCCTGCTATTTCAAGGGCTTCAGCAGAGAAGGTTCATTATACTGCAATTTCTGCCAACGGAGAGAAAACCCAGCCATCCACCTTACAAATGAGTCAGGGAGCCCTTGTTCAGTGAATCAGGGCACTGAGTGACAGGGGGACAACCTCCTCACGATAAGCAGCTTCCCTTACTGACACTTGTGCAGAGCCAGGCTGGGCAGGCAGGAGGCCTTGTGTGCCCAGCCTGGGTTGGAGGGTGGCCATGGGGCTCCCAGGTGCTCAGTGCCTGCCTGCTGGCCCCATCTTCACCATTCCGGCATGTTTATCTTCCCCCGATATGTGCCATCCTCATCAATTTCATCGGCCCCTGATGATGGTTGGCCTCGTGGAAACCATGCATCATGCTGAGACTGGCTTTGGTGTCAGCAAAGGGAAAAGAATTTGTCACCAACCCCTCTGTTTGCCTGACAATAACAGGAGCCAATATTTCATGAAAATTAAGTGCCTAGAGCATGCCTGATGGCTCACAGTTTTGATAAAGGATGGTCGGCAGATGCAAGGAGATGGGGATAGGAGACCCCGAGCATCCTTGGTTCCCAAGCTGGGGCTTCTGTAGTAACGGATGGAGACTGGGCCACCATGAGAGGGCTTGGGGGGCCAGGGGCTTACTCACCAGGTCAATAGGCCTTTACAAGACAGGCCCCTGCTCCAAGAGTGGGGGCTGCCTGTGTGCTTTCTTGGAGTGGAAGAGTAAGTGGCAAGGTTTCCAAAAGGACCAGTGCAGGGACTGGGTCACGGGATAGGCCTGCACGGGGCTGTGGGCTGCTCTGCTCCTCTCTCCCACCTGAGCTTGTCCTATTTTCCCCCTCACCATGCCACTCACTGACTCAAATGTGCATTGAATCATTGGAAAAGACTGTGTCAGTGACTGCATACTTGTGCAAACCCTGGTGACATGGAACCCAGTCAGGCACTTCTCCCACAGTGCCACTTCTCCAAAGCTTAGAGTGCAGACAGGGAGACAAATGGACACATAGCATATGCCCTAAAGTGACCCATGAGCTAGGCTGGGTGTTTGGGCCTGGAGCTAAGTCCTATTACCCAGAAGAATCAGGAGGGGCTGAAGAGGCAGTGAAGGAGCCAGGGGGTGGGAGGAGTTCCAAGAGTGAGAGTAGCCTAGAGGGGCCTCAGCCATTCCAGGGACATGAGCAACTCAGCTAGGCTGGGCTGGTGCTGCTCATAGGTCAGGTGTGGGGAGAGATATGGATGCAGCCTGAGACAAGAAGGATGGCTAGGCAGAATTTCATTCACTCACTCACTCATTCATCCATCCATTCATTCATTCATTCATTCATTCACCAAGTGTGTGATGGGTAAGCAGTATGTGCAGAATCCTTGGAACACAGTGGTGAGACAGTCACAGCTCAGCATTCCCACCCAGTCCTCTCTGGGTCACTCATTCATCCATGCGGCGAGGCAGCAAGCCATCTGTTCACCACCAAGGGTACAGCCCCAAGGCAGCCCACAGGCCTGGTCCTAGCTTGAGGGTGGTGTGGCAGGTGGCAGGTTACCTGCGTCAGTGCCAGAGGGGAGGCCGGCTGCAGGCCCTCAGGCTCGGTCTTGACCTTGCTGCGTTTGTGAATGGCGACAGGGTTGATGGTGCTGCTCACAGCCGACTCACTGCTCTGCTTGTTCTGAGGGAGGGTGCGGAGGACAGCCTGTCACTCAGGGGCAGGGCAGGGATACCCCACATTCTTTTGGACTTTAGGATCTCCCTGCACAGACCATCTAGGCTAACTCTGTGTTTAAAGTATCAGAAATAGAGTTCCCAGCTCAGTCTTCCTGCCAGGAGCATGTGCCCTGCTACAGGAGAGCACCAAGACCTCGGCAAGCCAACCCCATCTCTCCACCTCTGCCTCCCCAAGACTTCTGGGAAATGGGAAAGAGACCTTCTTTTTGGAAAATGCGGGGTAACCTTGCTCTTGTTTTGATGAGGCTCAACTTCTCAGCCCTCCAGAGCAGGGGACACTGTGGGTCTGAGAACAGGGCCTGGCGTGCCCAGAGCCTGGGTCCTCAGGAGAAGGGTTTGGGGCCTATAAGGTGGTATTTCTAGAGCTGAGAGCCACCATCAGGGGAAGGCCCTGGGGAGCCACCAGGAGCCCTGTAGTGGAGAGGGAGGACATTCTGGAACAGGGGACACTTCTAGAGGCCATGGTGTCTTATCTTCCTCCCAAGGACACAGCCACATCCAGGCTCTACCATTTGCTTATGGGTGGCCTGGGGTGGTCCCTACACCTCCAGCACCGTCATTGTCAGTTTTCCCAGGTTCCAGAGTCTATGGGGGCTCTGCACACATGAGCTCATTTATATGCACAATGACGCCACCTAGGTGCCAGGAACCCCACTTTGCAGATAAGTTAGTGCAGGCTGCGAGAGGAAGAGATTTGCTGCTTTCAGGTAAGTTAGGATCCCAAAGATGGTCTGACTGACACTAAGGCCTGTGCCTTTTCATCTCCTTATCTGTAAAACAAGACTTCATTTGCCAAATAATAATGGCACCTAGGATGTGCCAGGCACTGTGCTAGGATGCTCAGGCATGCTCAAGGCCCGTTGGAAAGGTCGAATGAGGCAGCATATGAAAGCCTGCTGTAAATGCATGCTCTGCAATGAAGCTGCACAGTGTTATCATAATTCACTCACCCACACATGACGCGTGCTGTGTGGGGAGCACCTCCACAGTGCCAGGCCCTGGGAGCTCGAGGCTTTCCCCATCTACTTATTATGCTTCTTGGACAGGAGACAGCAGAATTCCGAAGCTGCAAGCCTGCCATGGACTGAGCCCAGGTCTCACCCTTTCTGTCATGTGGCCTCTGCCCAGAAGGCACCCCAGCAGCCAGAGATGAACCCAGAGTCCCTCCATAAGTTCTAGGCATGAGCTGGCAATAAACAGCCCTCATGTGGTCTGGATGAGTACCCAGTGGCCACCCTGGCCCCTGCACCCACCTACCTGGTTGTCACTCAGACAGTTGCTGCTGCTGCTGAGCTGGGTGGGCGTGGCATTGACGGAGGTGAGGGCCATGGGCTGCTGAGCCAGGAAGGTGGGTGAGGGCTGGATCAGAGGTGGTGTGTGTCCAAAGGCTGACCCCAGACCCCTCTGCTGGCTCAGAATCTGCTGGTAAGCCACGGGGTTGATGGGGTGGGGGAAAGTGAAGGCTGGGCTGCAATAGAGAGCAGACAAGGAGGTGGGGGTGGGCATCGGGGGCCCTGTTAGGTTAACGCTTCTTAGACAGAGAGAACCTTGCCCAGGGGATAGAAATGGGCATGTTGCTAGCCCCACCATCACTGTGGCCTCCTCACTCGAGAACCAGCTGTGGCTCCCTACTGCCTGCCACTCACCTGTGATCAGCTCCCAGGTTCTGTCCTAGGATGCAGCTTTCACCCCTGGCAGGCTGACCCCCAGCAGGGACCAGGCTCCACCTCATCCCCACACCCCGGCCCCTCCACTGCTGTGATACCTAGATGTATGCCTGCATCACTGCTCCCTGACTACATGAACCCCATGAGGCCTCTGAATCCTGTTCTAATGTCCCCTCATCCAGGAATCATGAGCCCTCCAGCTTGCATTATTCTCCTCTTGTTACTGCACTTCTAGGATCTGTCATACCACTTGCATTAGATTCACTCTTCACACAGCAGGATACCAAGGAAGGAACCATAAAAGACATTGCTGAACCATAAAAGACATCGTGGCTTCCTCCTGCTTCCTCTTGCATCACGTGCTGCAAGGTAGGCTGGGACCTAGCAGCCATGTTGTGAGGACACTCAAGCAGCCCTAAGCAGAGGCTCACAGATGAGGACCTAAGGGCACTGCTGAGAGCCCTGTGAGGCCATTCTGGCCCAGCCAAGCCTTCAGCGGGCTAAAGCACTGGCTGATAGCTTGACTATGGCAACCTGAGAGAGCTGGAGCTCAGCCTGTCTCAAATTCCTGACCCTCAGAAATGGAGTGAGATAACAGTTGCTTGTGGTTTTAAACTGCTAAGTGTTGGAACAATTATTAGGCAGCAAAAGATAGCAAATGCCCTGGTTATTCCTTCTATCTCCAGGTCCTTGGGGCAAACTCTCCTGACATTCCTAACACCTCCTGGCATCTCTCGGAGGTGCTGGGGAGGCATGTGAGTTTCAGTCAAGCTGGCTGGGGTCTGAGTCCTCAGTCAAGAGTAGCACAGAGGGGACAAGGGTGGCTGGTGCCAGTGAGGCTTGGGTGTGCCATGTTGTAGCTACAGAGGGAGGCCTGCTGCCAGCCCAAAGGCTTGCTGAGAGCATGGGCCAAGTCCATGTCACATTTTGTGTGGTTTCCAAGGTTGGCCAACACTTGGCTGCTCCACCAAATTCAGTGAAATACTAGGAAATCCACCTTTGACTTCAAACACCTTTGATTTCACGTTTGAGTCATTCATGACAGTCTCGGTCCACGATGTGCTCAGATGTGATCAATTTGATTACTATTGGTTTTGAATTCATAAAAAAGGTGCAAGTATGTGGATTCACAAATGCCACAGTCCTATCTTTCTCTTCGGGTTAAAAGCAGCCACTGAAAACCCAGGCCCTCCCCATCAGGCCCTCAGCCCAGCTCCCGTTCTCAGCCCTCTGCTTGCAAGCAGGGCTTACCTGAGGGTGCCTGCCGACAGGTGCCCATAGGAGCCGCTGGCCGCTGAGCTGCTGCGGGAATTGTTGATGTAGGCCACCAGCGAGTTGGGTGAGGTGCGGATCATCCGCTGAAGGTCCAGGCTGGCGTCTGAGAGCGGGGAGATGGACAGCGCCCGCTTGCGGCTCAGGCGGGGCGTCACCCGAGGGCTGGAGAAACGGGACACTGTGGGACGGCCAACACAAGACAGGTCAGCATCACTGGGGATGGGGGAGGAAGTGACAGGTAGGCAGGGGACAGGAAGAGCCTATGAGGATGGTCTAATAAGAATCCTGCCAACTTTCCAGTTGTGAGCTCTTAGACAAAGAATGTTACCTCTTGGTCTCAGTTTATTGATCTGTAAAATGGACTGAGTAGCACAAGGCATGGTGAGGACTGGAGAAGTGAATGAATGTAAGGTGTTTGGACAAGTGAATATGAGCACTGAGCAGAGTGTCTTTACCATTAGGTGCAGAGACCAGGGCTGGAACCCAGCAGTGCTTACCACATGAGTGTGCACGAATCATAAGTGAGCAGCAGTTCGGTGGCCTCTCACCAAGGGAGCCCACCTGGGAAGCCAGCCCTAGGTCAAGAAACAGGGCTTGGCCAGTGCCCACAAGCCCCCTGCATCTTCCAACCCAAGGGTAGCTGCTATCCTGGCTTCTAACACAGATAAGTGCTGCCTACTTCTGAGCTTTGTGTAAATGGAATTTTAAATATGCTTTCCTATCTGGCCTTCCTCATCCACATGGTCAGTTTGTATGATTTATCCATGCTATTGAGTGTGGGAGATGCTCTTCTGTTCCCACTGCTATGGAGAATTCCATGGGGAAGGGAATGAATGGAAGTCAATGCTCCAAGGTCATGGGTCATGTTGTATCTGAAATCAACACTAAAGTGCACCCCTGATAGGGAGTTTGCCAAGCAGAGGCTTGGATGGCTGTGTGGACACATGGATATGCCCTCAGCCCTCGCCAGCTGCTGTCACACACCTACATGACTGCAGAAGGGAAGAGGGCTTGCCCCTGACAAGTGCACCCTGCACCCCAGGGCCACAGGCTCTTCCACCATGGTTCCAGACTGCGCCCCCTCATGGTGCCCCCATGAGGATTCTAGGTCTCTCCCCTGCACAAACAGTGGCCTAGAAACGGGCTGACAACACTGCTGCATGACTCACCACATGCCAAGTTTCCTGCCTTGTCCAGACCCTCCCACAGCCAGTTTCTCTTTTTAAAGGGCTCTAATAGTGACAACCACCAGGGCTGGCAGGAGGTGTAAATTAGGTGATGCGTGAGAAGTGCCTGGCCCACGGCAGGGCACAATAAATGCTTGGGCCTGTCTTTGGCCTTCTGGACACCTGCATGGAGTAGCCTCTTCTCATGTCTTGCTGGCCCCTGCCCACCCATCCTCCTTTCCGTGGCCTCCAGGTTCCCCAGGGGCTGGTGGTGTCACCCATAAACGATGCTGGGGGTTGCTTAAGCACATCCATGTTTGTGCTCAGCTGTTCTGGGCTTGTGATGACCTCTTTCTTCCCTTCTGCCTGCCCAGACCTGCTGAGATCCCACCTGGGTGCTCCCTTCTCCGGGCAGGCTGCCCTGACTACAGGGTCTGGCTCCATGGGCCTCCTGCTCACAGTCCACATGGCCCCTTGGCACTCCCAAAGCTTTCCTGTTGGCTCTGACCACTGGCCTCAGGGTTACTCTGAATCATGCATGTGTCAGTGCTTTGTCTCCATAGCTGCAGGAGTACTGAGGGCAGGGTGTGATGGCCTGCAAGCCTCTGAGCCCCCCACTCCATACATACCAGTCCCAAAGAAGACTGTGTGAGGGCAGAGCCCACACCCACCTACTGAACAAGCCACATGCCATGCTGGGCCCTAGGGGCAACCATGCCTGGCCCAGACTCACACTTGCTGCAATTCTGAGAAGACCTAGGGATCCCTGGGGAGGCTCTTTCCTGCCAGGCCACCAGGAGAAGCACCTCTCTAAGGCATGGAGAGGACAGAGGACATCCAGGACCATTGGGCCAAAAGGGGCTTCCAGGGTTTTCTCTCCTAATGGCCTCTTTCACAGGATATGGGGAGTCTGGGGCCACAGAGGAGAGTAGACAGCAAGCAGCCTGGGATGAAGGGACTCTGGGTAGAGGGACAGAGACCTGGGCTGGACCAGTGGCCTGTGGTGGGGTGACGTGGGGGCTGCACATGGGTACCCTGGGCTGGATCCATCAGTCAGCTGCATGACTTGGGACAAATTGTTTTACCTGTCACAGATTCCAGGTCTTCATCAATGACTCCAGCATAAAACAAGTCCCCTGCCAGCTCTGGGTTACTTTGACCCAATGGGATGATGGGTGAGGAGGTGGCCCGGGCACTCCAGAGTGGCAACAGTTGGGACCCTCATGTGACCCAATTCTTGGTATTCTTTATTTTCCACAAGAAGAGTTAAGTGAGTTTAGGAAAGCTCCCAGTTGAAAAAAAAAGGTGAGATAATCAAAACATTCTTTTCTTTCGACATCCTTGTCAGCTAAACTTTCTGCTTTTGCTGTTTATTTATTGGGCTACAAAGACTGGAGCTTATAGGATTTTAGTAAGCAGAGCTACAGTGGGTACACAAAAGACTCTCCACAGATGCTTCTGGGGATGACCAGTTGGTCTGACCCCACAGAGGGGCCAGGGCAAAGCAGGTAACTCAGACAACTCCTCCTTTCTCCTATGGCAGGAAGGATCCTGGGCCACCTGCTTGAGGACAGAAGGAGGCAGGAAAACCCATAGAGTAGGCTACTCCCCAGTCAGCCCGGAGGCTGCACTGCAAATATGACCACCCACACTAAACAGTGATCCTGGACAAAAAACAGGGGCATCCTGGCTGGAGTGTGCTCCTCTAGTGCAGTATCTGCATCCTGGCTGGAGTGTGCTCCTCTAGTGTAGTATCTGCATCCTTGCTGGACTGTGTTCCTCTAGTGTAGTATCTGCATCCTGGCTGGAGCGTGTTCCTCTAGTGTAGTATCTGCATCCTGGCTGGAGTGTGCTCCTCTAGTGCAGTATCTGCATCCTGGCTGGAGCGTGTTCCTCTAGTGTAGTATCTGCATCCTGGCTGGAGCGTGCTCCTCTAGTGCAGTATCTGCATCCTGGCTGGAGCGTGTTCCTCTAGTGTAGTATCTGCATCCTGGCTGGAGTGTGCTCCTCTAGTGTAGTATCTGCATCCTGGCTGGAGCGTGTTCCTCTAGTGTAGTATCTGCATCCTGGCTGGAGTGTGCTCCTCTAGTGTAGTATCTGCATCCTGACTGGAGTGTGTTCCTCTAGTGTAGTATCTGCATCCTGACTGGAGTGTGTTCCTCTAGTGTAGTATCTGCATCCTGACTGGAGTGTGCTCCTCTAGTGTAGTATCTGCATCCTGGCTGGAGCGTGTTCCTCTAGTGTAGTATCTGCATCCTGGCTGGAGCGTGTTCCTCTAGTGTTGTATCTGCATCCTGGCTGGAGCGTGTTCCTCTAGTGTAGTATCTGCATCCTGACTGGAGTGTGTTCCTCTAGTGTAGTATCTGCATCCTGACTGGAGTGTGCTCCTCTAGTGTAGTATCTGCATCCTGGCTGGAGCGTGTTCCTCTAGTGTAGTATCTGCATCCTGGCTGGAGTGTGCTCCTCTAGTGTAGTATCTGCATCCTGACTGGAGTGTGTTCCTCTAGTGTTGTATCTGCATCCTGGCTGGAGCGTGTTCCTCTAGTGTTGTATCTGCATCCTGGCTGGAGCGTGTTCCTCTAGTGTATTATCTGCATCCTGGCTGGACTGTGTTCCTCTAGTGTAGTATCTGCATCCTGGCTGGAGCGTGTTCCTCTAGTGTAGTATCTGCATCCTGGCTGGACTGTGTTCCTCTAGGGTAGTATCTGCATCCTGGCTGGAGTGTGCTCCTCTAGTGCAGTATCTGCATCCTGGCTGGACTGTGTTCCTCTAGTGTAGTATCTGCATCCTGGCTGGACTGTGTTCCTCTAGTGTAGTATCTGCATCCTGGCTGGGGCGTGTTCCTCTAGGGTAGTATCTGCATCCTGACTGGAGCGTGTTCCTCTAGTGTAGTATCTGCATCCTGGCTGGGGCGTGTTCCTCTAGGGTAGTATCTGCATCCTGGCTGGGGTGTGTTCCTCTAGGGTAGTATCTGCATCCTGGCTGGAGTGTGCTCCTCTAGTGCAGTATCTGCATCCTGGCTGGACTGTGTTCCTCTAGTGTAGTATCTGCATCCTGGCTGGAGCGTGTTCCTCTAGTGCAGTATCTGCATCCTGACTGGAGTGTGTTCCTCTAGTGTAGTATCTGCATCCTGGCTGGACTGTGTTCCTCTAGGGTAGTATCTGCATCCTGGCTGGGGTGTGTTCCTCTAGGGTAGTATCTGCATCCTGGCTGGAGTGTGCTCCTCTAGTGCAGTATCTGCATCCTGGCTGGACTGTGTTCCTCTAGTGTAGTATCTGCATCCTGGCTGGACTGTGTTCCTCTAGGGTAGTATCTGCATCCTGGCTGGAGTGTGCTCCTCTAGTGCAGTATCTGCATCCTGGCTGGACTGTGTTCCTCTAGTGTAGTATCTGCATCCTGGCTGGACTGTGTTCCTCTAGGGTAGTATCTGCATCCTGGCTGGAGTGTGCTCCTCTAGTGCAGTATCTGCATCCTGGCTGGACTGTGTTCCTCTAGTGTAGTATCTGCATCCTGACTGGACTGTGTTCCTCTAGTGTAGTATCTGCATCCTGGCTGGACTGTGTTCCTCTAGTGTAGTATCTGCATCCTGGCTGGGGTGTGTTCCTCTAGGGTAGTATCTGCATCCTGGCTGGACTGTGTTCCTCTAGTGTAGTATCTGCATCCTGACTGGAGTGTGTTCCTCTAGGGTAGTATCTGCATCCTGACTGGAGCGTGTTCCTCTAGTGTAGTATCTGCATCCTGGCTGGAGCGTGTTCCTCTAGTGCAGTATCTGCATCCTGGCTGGAGTGTGCTCCTCTAGTGCAGTATCTGCATCCTGGCTGGACTGTGTTCCTCTAGTGTAGTATCTGCATCCTGGCTGGACTGTGTTCCTCTAGTGTAGTATCTGCATCCTGGCTGGGGTGTGTTCCTCTAGGGTAGTATCTGCATCCTGACTGGAGCGTGTTCCTCTAGTGTAGTATCTGCATCCTGGCTGGGGTGTGTTCCTCTAGGGTAGTATCTGCATCCTGACTGG